GCTCCCAAGCGGCGCACTGTAGCAGTGCGCCACTGGGCTGGCCCAACCATTAGCATTTAACAGGTAGAAAATAATCAAATTGTTTTTAAAAACTAGCATTTCTTTGTTTCAAGTAAGATTGAACATTTCTTCCATCTGGTTTTTAACCGTAGGTAATTATTCCTCATTGTCTTGTTAATATATTTGTCCTTTATCCACTGGGGTGTTTGTATCTTTTCAAATGGGTATTAAAGACAATAAAACATTTTAAAAAATCTTCTCCAATATCAAAATCAAAGTTAGTGCTAGAGGTAGGATTTCTATCTATCCTTAGTCACCTACAAAACCTGATTAGGCAATGGGCATATTTTGCATCCAGAGCAAGAGTGCCGATGCTAAAGTTTATGTCATATTCATGTATTTCAACAGAGACTGTGTTATGATTTGAGTTTGCTTTTATACTGAAGACCTGAAAATCTTCTAATGATGAACGAGGTACAGGAGGGGGATCTGCGGCTGTTCTACTAAAAAGCCATCTAGCAGCAGGTGTTCAAGCTCCTCTCGTTCACCTCTATAACGAAGTGTAGACAAAAAAAATTTTACTACTGAATTCCAGAACTAGTGGAAATGTTGGCAAGTTGATATTGCATGTGGAGTGCTAGAATTGGGCTTTCACTAGTGCAATCCAAGTTAGTCAAGATATATTGTTTTACAGACACTCACCGGCCCTCCTAAATCCAGATATGAAAGGCTGTTACAGGAATGCTTTAGTGGAATGTGTGTTAATGTAAATTAAATTGGAAGCTAGGCCAGGAGAGCAGACAAAACAAGTTAGGCCTCATAAGTTACCTAAATGTTGCTTGATTTGCAAACATAAGCAAAATATATTTGTTGTTTGCTCAAATAAACTCCTGAAAAATTTATTAGACAGTAATGCCTTAGTTTACCTTTCTAACACCTGTAAAGTTTTAACTAATGTTTCAATTACTGAAGGATTCTGGATGCCTGAGACTAGAGGACAAGCAGAATTCTGGCTCTGGAATTATGGCTTTGATAAAATCCTTCAAGCAAAGCAAAAATCAGTATGTCCAAAAACAGAAAACTGACTTTCCTAGAATCTGAAAGGCAAATGACAGACATCCATTTGTTTATTTGCTTGATGAGAATGGCTTACTTTAAAACTACCATCATGTCAGCTGATTCTATTCTGAAACTTGCTCCCTTCATAAACTGGGAGGGTTATTTAACAAAAATAACACCAGGAGAGATAATTGACCAAGTTGGCTTAAACAAGTTTTCTGCAGAAGTAGAACCAGGATTCCATTAGAAACCAATAAAATTTCCATCAACTGAGTTTTGACATTTTTTGACCAAAGGCTGTGATTCCAGTTTGTTAATGTGTGAAAGCAGGAGTTAGAATAACAAACTGTACGCCATCCTTCCAAGAAAATTACTAGAGGATTATTCTGCAAAAAAAAAAAAAAAAAAAAAAAAAAAAAAAAAATGTTCACTGGCAATACTTCTGGGTTTATTTTCAATATTCCATGTTCGTTCCCACATTATGTATTTTGACATACACTGTTTCCTTGTTAGGAATCCATTTCTCCCATCTCATCACTGGCACAAATCTTCTCAACTTAAGTTACCAGCTTAAATTGTTTTCTCTAAGTTTTATCTAATATAACACTACCACAACTGATAAGTCCTCCATTCTTTCCTTTCACAGCTCCTCCTTTAAATGAGATTAAACTACTACATTTCACAGAAGTGAATAGAAGGGCTTACTTTATAAGGTTTCTCCCATACTACCTTGCTCTGGGATTTCTCTTAACAGGATTGGCATAGCACATGATGTATTTGTGGATCAGAGCAGACACACAAATCGCAGCATAGAACATAGAGTAACATTGACAATAGATTTAGTTCTGCTTTTTGAGGATTTACTAGGTACTGGTTCTACAATATGTATTCCTTAGGTACTTTATCTCATTCATTCTTTATACCAGTCATAAGAATGCTATTCTCTGTCCCAATTCACATAAATGAAAATTAAGGTACATAGGGTTAAAAATCTTCCCTAAGTTCGGAAAGACACTGAGTGTTAAGAGTCTGAATTCATTGCCAGCCTTATTGAAATCAAAAGCTCGAATCATTTATGGTCACATGTGGCTTTATACTAAACATTTAGATATGTCAATGTTGGTCATTTACTTGTAAAACTTTCGGAATTGACAGTGTTATGTTTTGGGTTTGTTTGCATGGACCAGGCTCCCCAAGTCTTCTCATGAGAAATGAGGCGACCAGAGGTGGTCAGAGCGTATTCTAATAAGGAAGCCACTCTCCTGATGCATATATTAAAGTCCTCTCCTCCTCTCTACCAAACAGTGCACTTTGTGAAATAGATAACTAAGTTCCGGAAGTGGTAAAATCTAGGGAAATTAACCTCACATGTTGAATGGTAAAAACAGTGGAAATTAGTAAAAATAAATGTGGTAAATTGTGTGGTTGCAGATAGACTCTCTTGTCTAAGGTGAAATACATTAAAATCCACATACTAGGAATGTCCTAGATAGATTCTTGACTTCTGAATATGATTGAGAACCCCATTCATGACTCCAGTTGACCAATGCAGATTATGAAAACACCAGAATTCTGCATGTGGAACTGCAGATTTGAAAGAATCCTTCCAGCACAGTGATGATCTAAGGCATGTAAAACATCATAGAGCTGGGTTTCCTGGAGCCTGATGAGCAGATGACAGGAACCCATTTGTCATGACTCCAGTTGACCAATGCAGATTATGAAAACACCAGAATTCTGCATGTGGAACTGCAGATTTGAAAGAATCCTTCCAGCACAGTGATGATGTAAAACATCATAGAGCTGGGTTTCCTGGAGCCTGATGAGCAGATGACAGGAACCCATTTGTGTATTTGCTTGATGAGAAAAACTACCCATCAGTGTGACCAAGTTTTGGTGAAACTTGCTTTCTCACAACCTGGTAATTTGATCCACCAATACATGACCAAAAGAATGTGGTTGACTAAATGATCTTACACCAGATTTCAGCAGAGGTAGAGCCAGTGTTTCACCCCAAGCCAATAAAATTTCAATAACCTGATCTTTGACATTTTCAAGGTGAAGACTGCAATGCTGGTTTCTGTGCATGCAGCAGAAGGCATTAGGAGATCTAAATTTGTGCTATTATTGCAGAGAAAATCGGCAGAGAGGATTCTGTAAAAAAGATAAAAGATATCTTATTTCATCTTATATTGGAAACAATTAAACAAAAGAAAATAATGTATCTTCTTTCAGACAGTTAAAGACACAACCACCCAAACTTATGACTCCAAAAAAATGAAGCCATCCCAGGAGAAGAATCAGCCTTTGCAAACTGCAGCAATCAGCCCACCTCCATCTGAGTTCCATCCTCAGAATTTTGAAGCCCTTCCACAAACTCCATCTAGCACTTCCTTAATCAAGGTACCATCTTTCTCTTCTTATTACTTCTGCCTCATGGCAACTTAATTACAATAGTGATCAGAGGTTGAAAGGCCATCTCATTGAATTTCTACTAAGTACAATTTCTTTATGTAATTAAATCTTTCATCATTAATGATGTATATGCCTTGAAATTCTACTAGACTCCATGGTCTTTGCTATTACAAGGCATTCATTCATAAAAATCATTACTAACCTCAAGAGGATTGCTGTCTTTTGTGGCTCCAGGTGTAGAGAGAGTGTGAGGAAGTAGCCAGACAAGGAAAGATGAGTTGAAGAGTGTGTTCATCATCCGTATTCCAGTTTCCATTCATTCTTTCTCCTTGTTCACTGACCATACTTCAGGTTTTACTTTAAATACCCCATGCTCTTTCCCAAATCAGGAGTTTTGACATAGGCTACTGTCTTTGTTGGAATCACTTTCTCCAGCCTCTTCATTATCCTAACTCTCCACAGGTGGCACTGGCACCCACCTTTCTTAGGGCAGGTGCTCACTGATACCCACCTTTCAGGATAGATAAGATTTTTTTCATTCTTTGTTCTCAAAGGTTTTCCAAACACATGATTTCCCATGGTTGTTTACTTTTCTTTATGTTATTTAAACAACTGAGATGATAGATAGACTTTCTTCCTTTTTAGACCATAAACTCAGAGTATAGGTATTCTACCTCAGGGGGACAGAACACAAGGAGGCAAACACTGCGTGCACCAGCTCTTATCCCAGATTGCCTTCTGCTCTGCTATGATATGATCCCTGTAGTCACCTGAAGTCAGGACTCAGCCTATATATGTGGTTAAATGGCAGACAACTTGAAAGAAAAGCAAGTAAATTAAATTAATATTTTCTGTAATTGCTTCTCACCCAAGCCCCAAGCTGCATTCTGGCCCAGAAGTGACACTGTTCCACCCCACAAATACTTAGGAGACAGGTTCCTTATATACAGGGGTTCTCAATTTTATTTTCCACTGTTAGTTATTTAGTTGGTTGGTTAGTTTTGATTAATCATATCTCTGTATAGTTTATAGAGGTTTTATTTGAGGGTTTTATTTGAAGCTTTGTTTTTATAGTTTATAGAGGTTTTATTTAAATTTTGATTAACCATATTTCTCTCTGTAGTTTAGATTAGCAGCCTATGTCTTTTTTCCTTCAGGCACAGGTGGCTGTGGATGGAGTCTTTGTCCAGTCTTTACAACCTCAGATCCATTTTCTCTCCACCACTTCGATTACTTAAGTGGACATATCTGGACAACCATGCTTTTCTCATTCATATTGACTTGGACAGGATTATTTCAGGCTTTCTAAGTACCACCTGGCAAAATATGAATCACAACCCTTGCTACAGCCATACACATTATTTATTTTTAATTGACACATAATAATTTACATATTTATTGGGTACAGAGTAATATCTTGATACATGTATACAATGTATAATGATCAATTTGGGGTTATTATCATAACCATAACCTCAAACATTTTTCACAAAGAAATATACAACTAATTTGCTGGACCTCAACCCCTCTGGAGCACAGAAACCCCAGAAAAGTCTGATTTCTTCATGGTCACATTCATCTAAACACACCATGCAGTCACTTATTCTTGCATATCTAGCCAATGCCTGAAAGAAGAATGTCTGACCATTTTTTTTTTAATGATTTACTGGGTGACCAGGAATGTCTTGCTCCACTAGTCATGGGTTTTTCCAAAGATATTGTCTAAGTTCTTTCTTTCTTTTATGCACTGGGATTTAAAATCAGAAACAGCCCATGTTTATCATTGATTTCTTCTGTTACGTCACCCCAGTAGCCAAGAATACAAAGTGACCTGAATCAGTAGCAGGGGTGTAGGAGAGAGAAATAACTCTAAGGAAAAAAATAATGAAAGATTTAAAATATTATCCAAACAAAGATAATATTTTTCTCATCCAAATTCTACTGTTGTAAATAGACTGTTTTATTTAACTGATTTTGAGAAGATAATAGCTCAAGACACTCTCTTCAATGAGTCGCAAAAGTGAATAATAAAGTTTCTTTCATATAATGTTTCTCTTACCTACCACTTCGACCTTGGGTTCCCATCCACAAGGTAAAAAGAGAGAATGAGACATCAACGAATCATAGCGGGCACTCTCTGAACCCTGCAGAGAGTGTAATAATAATGACAATAATTATACTTCTACTTTCTGGGCATTACTGGGTGCTGATTCTAAAACCTGTGATCTATATGTATGTTGCCTCATTACTTCTTTATAAACACAGTCATGAGGATGCTATTCTCAGCCTCATTTCATGTAAGAGAAACTGGTAGATATATAAAGTTTAAATGAGAGATATAGAGAGTTTTAAAATATTCCACAAGATTACAAAGACAGTAGGGTACTGAATGTAAATTATGTGGTAAAAAATGTACATTTTCTCATTTGTTCTTCCTTACATCCCCATGATTATACTATTGTTAGTCACATTTCTCATTTCTAAAAACTGAGAGTTTTAGGTGTTAAAAATCTTTCAAGTTCACAAAACAATTTTTAGCATAAGAGTCAAGATTCAAATCCAGCCTGATTGAATTCTAATATTTGAGCAATTAATGGGCATATATTGCACCCAGAATTTTAAATGTTAAAAATGTCTGTTAGATATTTATATATATATATATTTCAAAATAGACATTGTTATGGTTTTGGCTTGTTTCATAATCTAGATTCTGCATGGCTTCTAATTAGATATTAGGTGCCTGTGGATTTTCAAGGTATTCTCTTAATCAAAAAGACACACTCTATAGGCAGGACCCAGGAATCTCAAAAAGTTTTTCATGCAAATCTCAATTTAAAAAAATGACAATTTACGAAGTAGATTACTTAATACCACATGTGATTAAAAATAAACAAACAAACAAAAAACCTGTGGTAAATTGAACCAACATCCAACATGATGAATGCTGGAAGTGGGCTTCTGTTAGTGAAATTAAAGCTAACGAGGGTATATAATTTTATAGACCCTCTCTGCCCTTGTTTAAACAAAGTACAAAAATACAGGTGATAATAATGCCGTAGATAAAATCTTCGACAATTCTATTTACTGTTAAGAACTCGCCGTAGATAAAATCTTCGACAATTCTATTTACTGTTAAGAACTCTGAATGATTCTAGTTCTGAGATGCACACTACAAGGACAGGATTATCCTGCCTCTGTAACTGTGGCCTTGAGAGATTTCACCTAACATGGTGATGATCAATACACCCCCATGATGGAGAGCTGATTTCCTAACACCTGAAGAGCAGACGACAGGAACCTATTTGCATGTTTGCCTGATGAGAAAAAGGCTTATTCAATAAATGCCCGTAAGCATGGTAACTATGTTCTGAGACCAGCTTTCTTAAACCTGATAGTTTTAGTCACCGAAAATTATCCCCAAGAGTTGTTCTTGACAAACCTGGTTCAGCCAGTTTGCAAAGATGTAGAACCAGGAATTTTATTATAAGCTAATAAAATGTCAATCTTCTGAGTTTTGATATATACAGAGTGAAGATTGCAATGCTGCTTGTGTGTTGGAGAGAGTTAGGCAAACAGAATTTCTGTTATAAAACCAGAGATAGTTGGCAGGAAAAGGATCCTGTTAATATAAGACAAAAATATACTGTAATTCATTTCATATTGAAACCAATTAACCCAGAAAACAATATCTCCTTTACTTTAGAAAGAGAAGGACAAAATCACCCAATATTATGCCTCCAGAAATATGAAGTTATCCCAAGTGGACAGTCGGCCTGCACAGTCTTCAGTGATCAGCAAATCTCCAACTGTGACCCAGCCTCAGATATTTCAGAGAGTTCCACAAACCACATCCAGTAGTTCCTTAACCAAGGTACCTTCTTCCTGTTCCCATTCTTTTCACCTCCTAAAACATAATTAAAGGAGTGATTAGAATCTTGAACGAGCTTCCTATCTAATTTGCTACTAAATATTATTTTTCATGTGAGTAAATTTCTCATTTATTTATAAAATGTATAACTTACTTCAGTAGATTGTAATGTTCTGCTATTTACAAAGTAAGAATTCTTGAAATTATTCCTGATTTCAAAAGGTGTCTTGTCTTTTTGGTCCAGGTATAAAAAGAAAGAGAGAGTGAGAAAGTGGTCAGATAGGAACAGATGAATACAACAGTGATTCTTTCCTTACATTTCAGTTTCTTTTTATACCTTTCCCCTTTGTCTAACGACAGTACTTCAGAGTCTTCTAGCAACATTTCCTGTCTTTCCCTTCATCACGTGATTTGACGTTTTTTATTTCCTATGTTTTAATCCATTTTTTGTGTCCCAGCTTTCTCCAGGTGCCAGCACAAATCCCTTCCTCAGACAAGTCTATGCCAATATCTTCCCCCAGAACACATCAGGCCCTTCTGTTGTTTGCCATCACAGGTCCAGTTAATTTTACTTTGTAACTTTAATCACACTGCAATAACTGTACATTTGGTGCCCTATTAGACACTTAGCACAGACTGCAAGTATACTGTTCCAACAAAACAAGACAAAGGTTAAAAAGAGAGATCACTATTTTGTACAGAAATAACTATCTCATACTATTTTTCTTGCAACCATGTTAAGACCCATGCATCACAGTCACTGAAGTATCAGAAGCCTAGATCAAGCAACTTGAGGGAAAGGCAAAGAGAGAAGTAAATCAGCATTCACTAATCTAGTTTCTAATCCAAGCCTGAAGCTACACTCTGACCATGCTGCTTTCTATGCCATTAATTCAGTTGAAGACAGGCCTCTTATATAAAGAGTTCTCAATATTTTGTTTTGTTGTTAATGTTGCCGTTATTATTGTTCTTATTGACTGATTAATTACAATAATTCCTATTCCCCTGTAAATTCCTTTTTCCTTTTCTAAAAGCTTTATTTGGTGGATGGAGCTATCATATAGCCTGTTTACTATCTTGCCTCAGGTGGACAGATGGAACCTGTGCTTGGTCATTACCAGCTCAGATCCATTTTCTCTCTGCTACTTCAAAGACAAAATTGAATGTCCAAGGATAGTCAATTTTCTGATGCATATTGCATTGGAAGGGACCAGGTGATGCTTCCTAAGGTCCCAGTTGCTTATTATACATATGATATGGGCAATTCTACAAGCAAGATAATTATTCTGTTAAGGGTAAACTGCCTTGAACATAAGAATCCTAGAAAGAGTCATATGCCTTCATGGCCACCTACACTTAAACACAACATGCAGCCCTTTCTTCTTTGGTGACCAGCCCAAAGGCTGCCTCATCACTCACTTTGTGACTCAGCATGACCTTCTGCCATGACCTTTCTAAAGCAAAGATCAAAGAATAGCATAAATCATGATCAAAGGCGTTATTAGAAAGAAATGTGGGAAAAAAATAGCTACAATTTTAAGATATTATTCAGCCAATGCTAAGATTTTAGCCCTCCAAAGTCTGCTGTAGTGATGAGAGAGTTAGTTCTGACTTATTTTGAAAACATAATAGATCAAGACCCTTCTATCAATCACATCAGATTGCTACATGTGGCAGAAGGGAATAAAGAAGCTTATTCAATAGTCTTCTTATATCACTTCAATCAGGGGTTTTCTACAACTGGGTCACCATAAAGCATGAAATATCTGTGAAGAGGGCAGACATGCAAAACCCTGTGTAGACAGTAACATAACAATTAAAACAATAATGATATTTCTGTTTATTGAGCATTTACCAGATGCTATTTTATAAACACTGTGTTTTTGGGGTTTTTTTTGTCTTTTTTGTGACCGGCCGCACCGCGCTCAGCCAGTGAGCACAGCAGCCGTGCCTATATAGGATCCGAACCTGCGGCGGGAGCGCCGCTGCGCACCCAAGCGCTGCACTCTCCCGAGTGCGCCATGGGGCCGGCCCTAAATACTGTGTTCTTAACAAAATTATATTATATATTCCTCATTACGTCTTCATGAGGATGTAATTTTTATCCCATTCCACAAAAAAGAATACTGAGCTTCAAGGAGGTTAAAAATTTCCCAAGCCCATAAAGATAGTGAGTACTAGAGACAAGGTTTATATCCAGCTTTAGTCAATAAAAAATCTCTGATAGTTTTGGGATTATGTTCCTTTCAATATGGGAAAGTAGATATTACAAGGCCTAATGTATTCATGAATATTTCAAGTAGATTTTTTTTGTTTTGTTTACTTATGTATTTATTTATTATACATGCATGTGGGGTACAATGTTGATTGTCAATAATCGTGTAGAATGTGTGGTGGTTAGATCAGTATAGTTAGATTATTCATCATTACAATATACAATCATTCTTTGTATCCGTTGACCAATTCCTCATTAGCTCTTCTCCCTCTCCCCCTCTGCTCCCCTTTTCTACTTCTAATTTTCTAAAAGTTCAACGTGTTACTGTGATTGTTGTTTCTTTCTTTCTCTTTGTGAGCTTTGGATTTGTTTTAACAACCCAGGCTCTACAAGCCTTCTGAAAAGGAATGAGATGCACAAGAGGTACAGGGGTGTTCTAATCAGAAGGTCATAACCAGTAAGCAAGTTTGTTAGTCCCCTTTCCCATGTTTTTAAGGACAAGAGAAATATACTATTGAATGCCAGAAGTGAAAAAACTGGGGGAAAATTGTTATTGCATGTAGAAATTTATTAAGGACTTTCATTAGTAAAATTAAAGATAGTAAAAATGTGATTTTACAGACTCTCACTACCCTTACTTTCACAAGGTATAAAAGCCAAATACTGAGAATGCTCTAGTGGAATCTGGAACAGTTCTGATTATCTTTGAGAATCCTGAAAAATTCTGGATGCCTGATGCAAACCATAGGATAAAGAGAATCCAGTCTCTGGAATTGGTGGCTTTGAGAGAAAGATTCCAGCAAAGTGGAGAGTATTATGCCCCCCAGAAAGAAAAACTGAGTTTTCTGAAACCTGAAGAGCAAAGTACAGGAATTCATGTTCGTATTTGCTTGATGAGAATTCCTTAGTTATAGAAGTTCATCAGTTCGGCTAACTTTTTTCTGACACTTCATACCCTTAGAAGGTAGGATGGTTATTTAGCAAAACTAACCCCAACACGGGTTCTTTACCAAGTTGGCTTAGACCAGGTTTTCATCCAATGGAGTTTCAGGATTTTACCACAGACCAATGAAATTTCAATCAACTGTGACTTGAAATTTTCAGAGTGAAGGCTGTAACATTGGTTTGTGAGTGACAGGAGAAAGGGTTAGGTAAACAAATGTATGTTCTTCTTCCAAAGAAAATTAAACTGAGGAATGACTCTGTTAAGAAGAATCAAAAATGTGCATATACAAGAAAAAGTGTGTGTGCGTGTGTGTGTGTGTGTGTGTGTGTGTCAGGCTTTATTTCACAGTGAAAACCATTAACTAGAAAATACATTGTTTTTTTTTTAAATATGCAGGTAAGAATTACCCAGACTTTTGACTCTATAAAAACACAGCCCTCCCAAGAGCAAGGCCAGTTTCTGCCAACTTCAGACAAGAGAGAACATCCAACTACGAGCCCTTCTCAGACTTTACAGAGACCTTCACAAACTGCATTCAGCAGATTTTTATCCAAGGTACCAGCTTTTCATTGCCATTCCTTGTGCCTCCATTAATCATGATTAGAAGAATGATCAAAATCTTTAATGAGTTCTCAACTACTCTTGAACTACATACAGTTTTTTATTTCACTTTACCTCTCATTCATTTATGAATTGTATCATTGGAGATGATACTGGATTCTTAGAATTTTTCTATTGAAAAGGTAGACAATCATGTAATCATTCCTTACCTTATGAGGTTATTAAGATTCTTGTCGGGCCGGCCCGGTGGCGCACTGGAGAGTGCGCCGCTTGGGAGCGTGGCGGCGCTCCTGCCGAGGGTTCGGATCCCATGTGGAGACTGGTTCCCCCTCACTGGCTGAGCATGGTGCGGATGCAACACTGAGGGTTGCGATCCCGTTGCCAGTCAGTAAAAAAGACAAAAAAGGAAAAAAAAAAAAAGATTCTTGTCCAGTGTAGAAAGAGAGTGTGGAAGAGTATACAGAAAGACAAATAAATAGAAGAGTATATTTATCTCTTACATTCCAGTTTTCTTTCAAAGCTTTCCCCATTTTTTAATGACCATATTTCAGGGTTTATTATCAACATTTTTGCTCCTTCCCACATATGGTGTTTTCATGTATGGTAGTTCCTTTGTCTGGAATCCCTTTCTCCTGTGTCTTCATTGTCCTCTATTTCCGGGCTGACCTAAATTCTGTCTTCAAGCAAGACCTAACTGATAACCCCTCCAAGAATAAAACAGATCACCTCTTTGTTTCTTTCATATGTTCCTTTACTTCCTTTATAAGATCTATCACAACTGAAAATATATTATATGTATAACCCTACAGGAGACTAAGTTAACATCACAGAAACCCTGTCCAGAACACACAAGACAAGCCTACAAAAGAAAGCTCCTATAAGTGTTCATCAGATGCTATCCCAGACTGCATTTTGCTTAGCCATGATGTGACCGGCACATTCGCTTGCCCTCTGCACAGAAGTCTATAGCTGCAGTGAACAGGCAGATGACTTAAGAAAGGGAAGAGTAGCAGTAAATCACTATTTTCCTATCCAGTCTTTCACCCAAGTATCCAGCAGCATACTGACCTGTGCTTCAGCCTCCAGGACTACCCCACACTTACCAGATGAATGCAGGATTACCATTTTCAGGAAGCCACAATTTGTGAAAGGATTTTTGATTTTTGTTTGGTTTCTGTTGTTAATTTGTTTTATCGAAAGCTCCTATTTCCTTCAACAGAGTCCACAGGTTTTCTCTGGTGGATCAGCTAGCAGGCAGTACATTTTTTTCATCTTGGCCAAAGTGGACAAGGATAGTCCCCTTCTACTCATTACCTGTTCAGATACACTTTCTCTTTGCTACTTCAAAGACAAAATTGGGCATCCGGAGACAATCAGTTTTCTGATACATGCTGCATGAGAAGGGACTAAATGATACTCCTAAAGTCTCAATTGCCTAGACAGGTGACACAGCTATTTCCACAGCCACGGGAATTGTTCTGCTGTGTGTAAACATCCTTGATCCCAGAATCCTAGAAGGATGCATATGCCTCTACACTGCCTGCATTTCACCACACCATGTGTCCCTTTCTTCTTTGGTGCCCAGTCCATAACTTGTCTCACTACTCACTCTGTGACTCACTAGCTGAGCAGAGAAACCTTTTCCTTACTCATCTTGGATTCTCTAAAGACTACCTATGATGTGGTTCCATTGTGTTGTTAGATTCAAAACCCAAAGAAGACAGAAGCATGGTCTTCTGTCATGACTCCTCTAAAGCACAGAATGCAGAATGGTATGAATCATGATCAGGGATGGTAGTAGGAAGAAATTGCTATAAGGAAAAAAACATCAGCTACTATTTTTTAAATATTATTCAACCAAAGCTATGATTTTAGGCATCCAATTCTGCTGTTGCAATGAGGGGGTTTGTTCTGACATATTTGGAAAAGATGCTAGCTCAAGACATTTCGGGTAATGAGATTGAACTGCTACATGTGGAAGAAGGGAATAATACAGCTTCTTTAACAGATTTCCTTTATCACCTCAAGCAGAGGTTTCCTACTATTGGCAGCATAAAGCATAACATTTCTCTGAATAGGACAAAAATACAAAACCCTGAATAGGCCATGAAATAATAATTAAAACAATAATAATGTTCTGCTTATTGATCATTAACTGGATGCTGGACTGTAAAAATTGTGTTCTTTTCAAAATTCTAGCATATGTTCTTAATCTTATTTCTATGAGGATAATATTTTTATCCCATCTCACATATGAGAATGTGAAAGTTCAAAGAGGTTAAAAATCTTTCTCAAGTTCATAAAGATAATGTTAGAGGCAGGATTTACGCACAGCTTTGCTCAACTAAAAATCTCTGATAGTTTGGGAATATGTTTCTTCCAGTTTGGGAGAATACATCCTAAAATCCCTGCCTGTAATAGATGCCTAAATATTTAAAATAGATAATGTTAAGTTTTGGATTTGTTTTCATCACTCAAGCTCTTCAAGTTTTCTAAAAAAGAATGAGGTATATGAGAAAGTAAGGGTGTTCTAACCAGGAGGCCGTAATAAGTAGCAGGTATTTTAGTTCTTTTTTTCCACCTTTGTAAAACAAGGGAAATATATTATTAAATGCCAGAAGTGGAAAAATTGGGGGCATATTGATATTGTGTGTTGAATGTTTGTAATGGCTTTCATTAGTGAAATTAAAGTTAGACAAAACGTACTATTCTACAAACAATTTCTGTCCTCACTTTAAGTTATGAAAAGTCAGGTACTGGGAAATGCCCTAATGGAATGTGGAACAGTTCCGATTCCTGTTGAGAATCCTGAAGGATTGTGAAGAGCTTATTCAACTCACAAGAAAAATGAAATTCAGCCTCTGGAATTGTGGCTTCCAGAGAAAGTTTCCAGCAAAGTGAAGATCAGTTTGCACAAAAAGTGGAAAACTGTCTTCCCTGAAGCTTGAAGAGCAAAGTACAGAGGATCATTTCTGGTTTTGCTTCATGTGAATTTCTTTCTGATAAGGGTCTGTCAGTTCACCTTACTTTGTCCTGATACCTGCTATTCTTAAAAGCTAGGAAGGTTACTTAACAAATTTACCTCCAACAGAGGTTCTTAAACAAGTTGCCTTAGATGGGTTTTCTGCAAAAGTGATTTCAGATTTTACCACCGACCAATAAAATTTCAATCACATGAGATTTGACATTTTCAGGGTGAAGGCTGTAAGGCTGGTTTATTAGTGTATGAAAGAATGGGTCAGGATAAATAAATGTATATTATTCTTCCAGAGAAAATTCTCAGAGGAATGATTCTTTTAAAAATAATATATACAAAATTGTGTGTGCGTGTGTGTTTGTGTGTGTATACCACACTTCATTTCATACTAAAAAACATTAACTAGAAAATACAATGTTTTCCTCAGAACATGGGGGACAGAAGTACCCAAACATATGACTCCAGAATGAAAAAGTCTTTTCAAGAGTGGATTCAGGGTCTGCCAGCTTCAGACATGAAAGAACATCCAGCTGCGAGCCCCCCTCATACTTTACAGAGACCTTCACAAACCCTATCCAGCAGTTCCTTAACCAAGGTACCAGCTTTCTTTTATAATTCCTGTACTTTCTTAATGATGATTATAGGGATGATCAGCATCTTAATAGAGCTTCTTAACTACTCTTGGACTAAATACATTTTTTCCTTTTTGTTTTTTTACCATACCTATCATTTGTTGTGAAGTGTGTAATTGGAGATGCTAAAGATTCTAAGACTTTTACTGTTGAGAAGGTATATATTAATAAAATCATTCCTGACCTAAAGAGGTAGACTAAATACATTTTTTCCTTTTTGTTTTTTTACCATACCTATCAATTTTTGTGAAGTGTGTTAATTGGAGATGCTAAAGAGTCTAAGACTTTTACTGTTGAGAAGGTATATATTAATAAAATCATTCCTGACCTAAAGAGGTAATTAATATTTGTGTCCAATTATAAAGAACGTGGAACAGTAGACAAAGAAGAGATAAACAAAAGAGTGTTCAATTCTATCATTCCAGTTTTCTTTCAAAACTTTTTTTATTGCTTAATGACCATACTTCAGGTTTATAGTCAACATTCTTGCTCTTTCACATATACGGTGTTTAATATGTGGTACTTCCTTCATCTAGGAATTTTTTCTTGTCTCTCTTGTCTCTTCGCTGGCACCATTCTATTTCTGTACTAGCCTAAACCTTTATTTAAGTAAGACCTCACTAATAATCTTCTCAAAGAATAGAACAGATTATCTCTTTGCTTCTTTTACATGCACTCTAATTATTTTATATTTATCACAACTGTAATTATAGTATATGTTCAACCCTACAAAAGAGTAAGTTGAGATTGTATATATTCTCTCCAGGGCATGCAAGACAAGAGTGCATGAGAGAGTTCTCATCAGTGTGCAACAAATGCTGTCCCAGACTGGACATTGCTTAGCCATGATATGACCTGTGTAGTCACTTGCCCTTGGCACAGAAGCCTATATCTGCAGTAGGCAGACAGGTGACTTGAGAAGAGGAAGAGCCACTATTCTCCTATCCAGTGTTTCAACCAAGGCCCAAGCAGCACGCTGACCCAGGCTTCAGCCTCCGGGACTACACCACACATACCTCTTAAAGACTGTATTAATCTGTATAGGAGGTCTCAATTCATAAATGAAGTTTTGTTTTCTGTGCTGTTTCTGATGTTTTTATTACCAAAAGTTTATATTTCCTTCAATAGAGTCTACAGATTTTATCTGGTGGATCAGTTAACAAGCAGTGTGTTTTTGTCATCTTGGCCAAAGTAGACAAAGATAGAGACCATACTAATCATTACCATCTCAGATTTGTTTTCTTTTTGCTCCTTCAAAGACATTAGTGGAGACCTAAGTTTAACTGTACTTTCTCACATATTCTAGATGGGAAGGAAAGAGGTGACACTTTCCCAGGTCCCACCTACCTAAATGTGGAACATAGCCATTTCTATAGACTATATTTTATAGAAATATTTCCATAGAAATTATTCTGCTCCACCTGAATCCCTATTAACAATAAGAATCATAAGGAGGGTTAATTCCTCCATGGTCTCACGCACTTAAGCACACCATACAGACATTTCTACTTTGTTGCCCGGCCACTTCCATAAGAATCTGCAAATTTGCCTGACCCCTCATGTTATGATTCACTATCCTTGGGGGAAGGCCTTGTTTTTGCTCATCATGCGTTCTCCCAAACACTTTTGGTAATATGGGTACTTTATTTGTTTGAAATCAAAACCAGAACCACACCATTACTGCCTTTGATATCNAAAAAAAAGAGTTATTATTTTAAAACATTATCCAAACAATAGTTATATTTCCAGTATCGAAATTCACATGTTGTGATGGAAGTGTTTGTAATAGTTGACTTTGTTAGGATGAATAGCCCAAAATGTCGTGTCAATGAGATAACATTGTGGCAGGCGAGAGAGAAAAACCTCATTAATGAGGTGATTCCCCATACCAGATAGAACGGGTTTTCCATAAAGAGGGTCAAAATACATATGAAATACCTGTGGATGGGGCATATATTCAAATCCTTCATATACCATGAATGAATATTGACAGTAATGACATTGCTGCTTATGGAGCATTTACAGGGTGGTGGATTCTAAAACATGTGTCTTTATACTCATTATATCACTAATCCTTCATTGCTCCCCATTAGGTAACTGTTAGTCTAACTTCACATGTGGAAATATTGTCTTAAAATTAGCAATCCTCCCCCAAGTTCACAAAAACAGTTAGCCTGAGAAGTCAGGATTTCTATCTAGGTTTTACTCACCTTCAACATGACTAGTCAGTGGGCATATGTGGCTTGCAGAATCAGAGAGCAGATGATGAAATGTCTATATTATAAATAGATATGAATACCTAAACATAGACATTGCTATGATTTGAGTTTGTTTTATGGCACAGGCTTTACCAACCTTTTAATGAAGAATATGGCATGCCAGTGGGCTCAAAGGTTGTTCTAACCAGGAAGCCACATTCTAACAGCAGGTTTTTAAAACCCTTCTCATCCACCTCTTCATCAATAGGTGGCACAAAAAAAATTATGCTACTGAATATCAGAAGTTGAAAAAAGTGTGGCAAATTGATATTGTATGTAGGACGTTACAAGTGGGCTTCATAGTAAGCACAAGTCAAGATACATTATTTTGCAGACACTACACATCCCTTCTTTATGAGTATAAAATCCAGTTACTGGGAATGCATTAATAGAATGTGAAACTGTTCTAATTCCTTTTGAGAATCATGAAGGATTCTGGGTGCCCACCTCTGGAATTGTGGCTTTGAGAGAATCCTTCCAGCAAAGTGAAAATCAGCATGCCCTGTGACATAAAACTAATTTTCCTGGAATCTAAAAAGCAAATAACGGAATTCCATTTCTATGTTTGCTTGAAGAGGATGGCTTGCTTATAAAGGACCATCAATTCAGCTGACTTAGTTCTGAAACTTACTACCTTTATAAGCTAGTATAGTTATTTAACAAAACTAACCCCAACAAAGATGCTTGATCAAGTTGTCTTAGACAGGTTTTTGGAAATTGTAGTGCCAGTATTCTACCACAAACCAATAAAATTTCAATCAACTGAGTTTTGACATTTCAATGTTGAAGGTTGTAATCCTGATTTGTGAGTACAATGTAAGAGGTTAGAATACATAGATCTACATTGTTTTTCCAGAGAAACATATCAGAGTGATGATTGCATCAAAAAGAATATATATACACATATATATTATGAAAATTTATATATGTGTGTGTGTGTATGAGTGTGTGTGGTGTTCATGTATATCAAGCTTTAGTTCATATTGAAAACCATTAACCAGAAAATACAATGTTTTCCTCAGAACATGGAGGACAGAATTACCCAAACTTATGACTCCAAAGGGATAAAGTTTTCCCAAGAGCAGAGTCAGCTTGCAAAGTTCAAACATCAGAGAACATCAAACCATGAGCCATCCTCAGACTTTACAGATACTTTTACAAATCTTACCCAGCAGTTCCTTAACCAATGTATCATTATTTGGTTGCCATTATTTGCACCACACTTAATCATAACTATAGGATAGCCAGATTCTTGACAGAGCTTCTCAACTACTCTTGGACTAAAGAGTTGTTTGTTTGTTTGTTTGAATTTACTGTACCTCCCATTCATTGATCAAATGTATAACTGGATATGCTACAAAATTCTAAGAATTTTACTATTGACAAAGTATACATTATTATTCTTCTCCCAAAGAGGTTATTATAATTTTTGTCCAAGTGTAGAA